CTTCATTGGAAAGGTGATGACATCCTTGTCTATTCTTTCAGGTGCTTACTTTACTTGTTAAAGTCTACCAGAAGCTGCCTTCTCCTGATTATTTGAGCATTTGTCAATGCCTCATGTTTTTGGATGAACCGCAAGGTGTTGCAACAATATTGGAGAAGCTTCTTCACTCGGAGAGCAAGGATGATGCTTTATTAGCATTGCAAATTGCTTTTGATCTTGTAGAGAACGAGCACCAGGCCTTTCTCTTGAGTGTTAGAGATCTCCTTCCTGCTCCCAAAACACGACCTGTAGAAGCAGTTCAGGCTGTTGAAACTACTACTGGTCCGAGTGAGAACCCTTCAGGGGATGTTCAGATGGCAGATGGAAATCCAGCTCAGACAATTGTGCATGAGACGGATCCAGTTGACGCTACATATGCTGAGAGGCTAACAAAGATTAGGGGTATTTTATCTGGGGAGACATCTATTCAGCTGACACTTCAGTTTCTTTACAGCCACAACAAGTAAGTTACTGTTGAACTTTTGATATCTTGAAAGGAGATATTTTCTTCTAAAATCGTTTATTCCTGGAAGTAATCATATGCTTCATTGATAATACTGTCTTTCTATAGATCGGACCTGCTGATACTGAAGACAATCAAACAGTCTGTGGAGATGCGGAACAGTGTTTGCCACAGTGCTACAATATATGCTAATGCTATTATGCATGCTGGAACTACAGTGGATACTTTTCTTAGAGAGAATTTGGTAACTTTTTACCTTTATTGTAATATTTCTGAATGCTTGAGTTTGACTGTGTGCCTTAGTGTATTCAAATTTATTTTCACTTATTATTCTTTTTTAATTGACAGGATTGGCTAAGCAGGGCCACCAATTGGGCTAAGTTTAGTGCTACGGCGGGATTAGGTGTTATTCACAGAGGTCACCTTCAACAGGGCAGGTCATTGATGGCTCCATACTTGCCGCAGGGAGGAGCAGGTGGTGGTGGTGGGAGTCCTTATTCGGAAGGAGGTGCTTTATATGCTCTTGGCCTTATTCATGCTAACCATGGCGAGGGCATCAAACAATTTCTACGTGATAGCTTACGCAGTACTAATGTTGAGGTGATTAGTTGATATCTTACTCGATATAGCTTTTTCAGGTCCGTGTTAGCCTCTTTGTTCAGAGATAATTTGTATTGCGAAAATATGGATGCAGGTCATTCAACATGGAGCATGCTTAGGTCTTGGTTTGTCAGCTCTTGGGACAGCTGATGAAGAGATATATGATGATGTCAAAAGCGTGCTATATACTGATAGCGCGGTTGCTGGTGAAGCTGCTGGAATCAGCATGGGTTTATTATTGGTTGGAACCGCGACTGAAAAGGCAAGTGAGATGCTCGCTTATGCTCATGAGACACAGCATGAGAAGATAATAAGGTAATGTATCAGAGAAAATTCTTGGTGATGAAGGTCCATTGTATTTGATTTAGCGTTTCATTAATCAGCATCTGGTAAGTGTTTTTAGGGGATTGGCTCTAGGCATAGCGCTTACAGTATACGGAAGAGAAGAAGGAGCAGATACCTTGATTGAGCAGATGACTAGAGATCAAGATCCTATCATCCGTTATGGTGGTATGTACGCACTGGCATTGGCTTACAGTGGAACAGGAAACAACAAGGCAATTCGCCAATTGCTACACTTTGCTGTATCTGATGTCAGTGATGATGTTAGAAGGACTGCTGTTCTGGCACTTGGATTTGTCTTGTACTCTGATCCAGAGCAGGTCAGTTTCAGATACTCCCTTCATTGTGACCACTAACTTCTATTTCTTTTTCAGGGATTTTGTGTCGTTTATCCTAATGGAATTCCTTGATTTTTTTAACTGTAGACTCCTCGTATTGTATCATTACTCTCTGAGTCGTACAACCCACATGTTCGCTATGGAGCGGCTCTTGCCGTAGGTATTTCTTGTGCAGGCACTGGCCTCAGCGAGGCGATATCCTTGTTGGAGCCACTTACATCAGATGTGGTTGACTTTGTTCGTCAAGGTGCTTTAATTGCAATGGCCATGGTGATGGTTCAAATTAGCGAAGCAAGCGATTCTCGTGTTGGAGCATTTAGGTTAGTATAAATCTTGTTCTCTTCAGCATTGAGAGGCATAGAATATCTTGGTGATTTTATGTAATTTTTGTAGGCGCCAACTTGAGAAGATCATACTCGACAAGCACGAAGATACAATGAGCAAGATGGGAGCGATTCTGGCCTCTGGTATCCTCGATGCCGGTGGTAGGAACGTCACTATAAGATTGCTCTCAAAGACCAAACACGACAAAGTCACTGCTGTTATCGGTCTTGCAGTCTTCAGCCAGTTTTGGTATTGGTACCCACTGATCTATTTCATTAGCTTGGCCTTCTCACCAACTGCTTTCATTGGTTTGAACTACGACCTTAAGGTCCCAAAGTTTGAGTTCATGTCACATGCAAAACCGTCTTTGTTTGAGTACCCAAAACCCACCACGGTTGCTACAGCCAATACAGCCGTCAAACTTCCAACCGCTGTTCTCTCAACCTCAGTTAAAGCCAAAGCTAGGGCTAAGAAAGAAGCAGAACAGAAAGCTAATGCCGAAAAAACACCCGGTGCCGAAAAGTCTGTCAATGAAAGTGGATCTGGAAAAGGAAAAGCATCAACTGAGAAGGAAGGAGACGCTATGCAGGTAATGTTGTCCTTTCCTTGCCTCTTCCTAGTAGTTTCTGCTTTTGATCGCCTGATTAGTCTCATAATCACTAGACTTCTAGGTTTCTTCGTTTTTACTATCACACAAGTTAGACATTTTGAATTTCAAGGTGATGAATTCTATAGGGGTGTTTATTCTGGGTTTCGGTTTCAATAAAAAATAGCAACCAATGTAAAGCTGTATCTACTACGGATCGGTTTCGAATGTTTACGGTTTTATATTCGGGTTCAGGTTGTTGTATGTATTTTTCTGGCTATTCGGATTGTCCGGATTGAACATCCCCAGATTATGTCTTCGAGTCTTTATGGGTGTTTAGACCATCTGTGATTTGAAAGTCTTTTGCTCCATGAACTGTTAGGTCGATAGCACAGCAACAGTCGAGAAGAAAGCTGCTGAGCCAGAGCCATCGTTTGAGATTCTAGTGAACCCAGCTCGAGTAGTCCCAGCTCAGGAGAAATACATAAAGTTACTCGAAGACAGCAGATACGTTCCAGTGAAGCTAGCTCCGTCTGGTTTCGTTCTTCTCAAAGACTTACGTGAACACGAGCCAGAGGTTCTTTCTCTGACTGATGCACCAACTTCAACAGCTTCTCCTGCAACGGGTGCAGCGGCGGCTACACAAGGAACTACTGCCTCGGCTATGGCTGTAGATGACGAGCCACAACCTCCACAAGCCTTTGAATACGCTTCATGATTTTGTTTTCTTTTTAATTTAGTGGGAATTTGTTGTTATTTCTATTGGTTTCTGTTGAAAGACAAAAAGCAGAGGAAAAAAAACAGATCGTTGAACTTTTGGTACTGCTTGTTGTCATTTAAAGTTTGATTTAAGTTCAACTACGAATCTCGTGTTACTTTTCTCTAATTGTTTAAAATTTTTAAATTTCACGTGGTCTAGTCTTTTAAATTTCGCGTGGTTTAGTCTAATCGAACTCATCAACTACAATGGTTGATGTTAGACGCTAATATGTTTGTTTATCTTAGTGTCTAGAGTCTTTCTTTATTTTCTTATGTCAAAGTGTGTCTTTTAAAAACATTTGAATTTGTATTAATCAATATAAGTTTAACGTGTTTCATTATGTAATAGCACTAACCATTTCTATAATCTAATATCAATTTAAATATTAGAGCAAGTGGAATGTGTTCTTTAAGTTAAAAGAAAAGGAAATTAAAGTAAATTTTTTTCTTCTCTTTATCCATAATTTTTTTAGAAAAAGTTGATAGACAGGGACAACAAATTAAAGATTCACATCTCCCACCAAGTGGAAGAACAATCTTTCCTTATTCTGTAAAATCACTTTGACTTTTGATCTTATCTTCTCACAATAGTACCACTTTTTGTTCCTCCATTTTTCTCCATAATCAAGTTAGATAATGGAAAAATTCAATCCAAGAAAGAACAAGATTGTGGAGAAACAAGGTCCAAAGCTTTGGTTAGCAATCTCACCAACACTTGTGTTCTATTTTCTCTATCTGTTTCAGATAAATCAATTCGTGACCTATCTCCTTTTCTCCGACAAAGCAACCCTTAATATCCTTCTTAAGGCTAAACAAGAAGGAACAGATACTTGCGCCGGAAGGTACATCTATATGCACAATCTTCCCAGCAGATTCAATGATGATCTGATCAAGAACTGCGAAGCATACATCGAATTACGCAATAAGTGCAATTTCCTGGTCAACTCCGGCTTCGGTCCACGGATTTCGAATGACGATCATAACCAAACCACTCAGTTCTTAACCACCGAAACCGGTTCTTGGTACTCTACGAACCAATTCATGCTCGAGGTTATCTTCCGAGAGAAAATGAGACACTACGGGTGTTTGACCAACGATTCATCCCTTTCTTCTGCGGTTTTCGTGCCGTTCTATGCTGGTTTCGATGTGAGACTATTTTGGGGATACAACGTGAAGCAAAGGGACGAACTTGGTGAAGATCTGGCTCGATGGCTTAGTGGTAGACCAGAGTGGAGGAGAATGTACGGACGAGATCATTTCTTTGTGGCGGGACGGGTCGGTCGGGATTTCAGGAGGCTTTCTGATCAAGACTCAGATTGGGGAAACAAACTGTTGAGGTTGCCTGAATTTGAGAACATGACTATGTTATCGATTGAGACTAATTCTTGGAGCAATGAGTTTGCGGTTCCTTATCCGAGTTATTTCCATCCGAAGAGTGAAATCGATGTTAAGAGATGGCAGAGGCAAGTGAGGATGAAACAGAGACGATTTTTGTTTTCGTTTGTTGGAGCTCCGAGGCCGAACTTGAAGGAATCTATAAGAGGAGAGGTTATAAGTCAGTGCCTTGCTTCACAAGGAAAATGCAAGTTTCTTAATTGTGAAACAAATAAGTATTGTGGTGATCCGGTTAAGGTAATGGATGTGTTTCAAGATTCGGTTTTCTGTTTACAACCGCCAGGAGATACGCCTACTCGAAGATCGACATTTGATTCGATTTTAGCCGGTTGTATACCGGTTTTCTTTAATCGGGATTCGGTTTATAACCAGTACAAGTGGTTCTTCCCAAAGGATCATACCAAGTATTCGGTTTACATTTCGGAGGAAGACGTGAAAATTGGTAAGGTTAGTATTGAGAATCTATTGATTATGATTAGTGAAGAGAGGATTTTGAGTATGAGGAACGAGGTTGAGAAGATTATACCGAAGATAATTTATACAAAACCGAAGGTGGTTGGACCGGATAAGATTGAAGATGCATTTGAAATTGCAATGGCTAGGGTTCTTGAGAGAGTGTCATTGTTCAAGATGCCACGGATCTAGCAACTATATATATATTTTTAGTAGGGGCAAGAATCAAAATTTAGAAGTCTTATGTGCATCGAAAATTTGTAAATCTATGTAGTATAAAATATACTGATTTTTTTTTTTATCTTTTAGAATCAAACATGTGAATTTGAAGTACATTTCGTTTAGCACGAAAATTTGTGATTCCTTGCAGAAATCAATGTAAATGAGGTTTTCAGTAAAACAAATACTCAAAACTATCGCTGGATCTTGAATAATCTCTCAACTATTTTTTTAATAAACAAATCTTTCAACTATACTTCGTTAGTGAAATCAACCCTCCGTCTACAATAACGTTTCCAATAATAATTGTTTTCTTTTGTTACAAAAACAACAAAACGATTTGAGACGATTTGAAACAAAAACAAGTTGTTTTCCTGTGAACAACTTGATGTTTAGGTCAATATTTGAGACGATTTGTCGTTTTTGTAACAAAAAACAACAATTTTTATTAG